CGAATAAAAGTTTAAAGCCGAAGGTTATTTATGGTTCCGCAGAGATAGGTCCTGAGTGGCTATTTAGGAGCACGTGATTCCAATAAACTTTGTTTTATGGCTTGAGAGTTGACAAGCCAAAATATAATTCCCACCATAAATTAGTTTAAGAGCATACAAGTGCAGATGCTTTCGTTCCTGGAAGCAGTAATCGGGAAAGTGTTAGCAGGGAACCGTCTGCGGGAATGCGGCCGTGCAGGCACCTCTGCTCCCGGGTCTCCCCGGCCGCGGGGGAAGCGCGCAGTAAGTCCGCTACTGGCCTCCCCGCCGCCGCGCTCGGGATACCGCTGGGCCCAGAGCAGCGCAGCGGAAGCGAGGCACCGGCGCTGCTCCGCACCGCCCTACGGAACGGCTCTGGGGGGAAAACCGACAGCTAGGGCAGCTCCGGGATGAGCGGGGTGCTCCCAACGAAGGTTTCGGAATTTGGCGGGATATCTTATCCGGAGCTAACATTTATTTATTATCCAAGAAAGATAAAAGGGAAAGTAAGGGTAAGGGAATGTTTAGTGCTGAAATGCTGATATGTCTGCGCCGTCCTGGCAAGCTCTGAATGCTAACCAGAGTGGGCAGAACTAAATATACATGTATATATTTATTTTGAACAAAAAATCATCCTTGGGAAGCTCTGCCTAATGAACTACTGATACCTGGGCAGTTGCTCTGTGTGTAATACAATAATTCTCCAAGATATCGTACCAAGGCAATAGAGGAGGTTGAAAAATCGCTCACAGAAAAGAACCCCCAATATTATTTAATTTTAAGCATACGATGCGTTTCAGGAGCGTTAGGTTGGGCGTGTAGTTTTATTTTGCTTATTGTGATCTTTGAATGCATTTATAAGAAGATTTGAAGGAAAGTTCAAGTCAAATCTATCCTTCTATGAGGCAAACAATGACGCATGTCTCGTGGTTACTGTTAGGTTAATTGGGTCATCTTAAAGGGGACCTATCTTAGAGTAATCTGAGCTTTATTCTTATCAAATTCTGGCTCTTTCTGTGCTCAGCATGGTTATGATGCTGAGTGACACATTGTGATGTTTTATGGGTGATGGTTTAGCAAAGGTGATCTGAATATTTCATTTGTGACTGGGTTGCCACAGAACAAAAAAAGGCCTTTGTTATTCCTTTTTCCGCCACTGAAAGAGGGAGGTCTGATTTTCCATCCTTTTAGAAATTAACTGGTATAAAATCTAGACCATGAATATTGAAAAAATCACACCCCAGGCACAGGGAAAGCAAGTGTTCATAAAAACCTGCCTGAATGAAACGTGGCCCTCATTCGGAAGGGGCTTCCACGCCACCACTCCGCTGCTCGCAGGATTTACCATCAGCTCCTCTCTGCCTTCATCAAATGTGGTCTGTAACTGTTCTACAGAAATATCACCCGTATGTGGAATACAACAGTAACAAACGTTTTTATTGCAACAGGTTCGCCAGTATGGAAGACCATCCACGGTGAGTAACCTTTTATTTCTTGTAGAGCTTGTGTTGCTTGAAAATACTGTTTCTTCCCTTCAAATTGGAAGAATTAAGAAAGATGTATCCCTGATGAATATTGCTAACCACCCAAAAATAAGAAGAGGCAAAAGGCTATGTCAGCATGGGAAGGCTCTTGTGGTGTCAGTTTGTGGTACCATGTTGTAACCCTGGCTAGCGTTAAAAGTAGAGGTGCAGCCTCCTGTGGGATTATTATGGGCTGTACAGGTGTCCTTCTGCTCTTAGACACTCTGAAGCAATTAGCAGCGATTCCATTTCTGCTCGGCTGGTCTGTACAGCGCCTCCCCGCGCAGATCCTGGATGAATCACTTTGTATCCCAGCGCCTCACAACCTTGGCTACTCCCACTCTTCTCTCTAGCCTGGATTTGAAGCAGAGCCTTGCCTGCTATCTAATGTTAGCCTCGCTTGGCACAGCCTAGTGAACGGGCGAAAGAGAAGGAGGGCTCTGGAGGCTGCCAGCGCCAGAGCCACCCGGGTCAGCCACCCCTGCAGACGGGTCGCTCCGATCCGCTGCTGCTGGGTCTCCTTCAGGCAAGGGAGACTCAAGCGTGGACTGAAATGTTGGGAAGGCAACGGAAAGGAACGGTATCTGAGCTTAGGAGAGCTACCTTTTACTCTAGGGGTTTTCGCATACCCGATGGTCCCGCGGGAATTGGCCAGGGAAACCGAGGGGAGGGCAGCAGGTCCGTGTGTGGCAGGAAATGCTGCTGAACCTCTCTGGCTGCAGGATGGAGCTAAGTGTCCTGGTGCTTCAGGCTGAGAGTGGCTTGTATCCCAAACAGGAAAAGAAAGCCTGTGTTATTTGGAGATGAGTTAGGTACACATTGCCCTCCCCTCTTCTGCCAGCCCTGTTCTGGCCAGGAGGAGCATGTAGAGGAGCGGAGATGTGTTTGTTTGCGTTTCTCCCTATTTCCTCTCTCTGCTTGCTGATAAATAACCTCTTTCACTGCTTGTGCCAGGCTGCTTCTTTTTTGCCTTACGTTGTGATATTGGTTTTCGAGCCCTTTAAATACGAATTTAAAGATCGCCTCCAGCGTTTAAGTTTTAATTTTGTTCCATAGGCAGCTTTCCTCCTCCCGTAGATCAGCTCTGTGCTATATAGGTGCCCTTGGCATTTTATTCCAGGGCCGGCCCTGAATGTATGGATTACTTGTTTTCTGCCCAAGTAAATTTAGCATACTGATTATGAACCAGAATACAAAAAGCCTGATAGATCAAAAGCATTTTGTATGGGCAGTTGAACAGGAGGTGAATATATAACGCTTTTGTTCATCAATAACTCTTTGGCTTTGACCTGTCTGAGCAAGTCGTGCAATAAGGTGAAACGCAGGTCACGGCGTCTAACAAATATGAAAATGTGTAGTATTAAGCAGTGCGGGGAGCTGCTGCTTCTCCGGCCCCATTGATTCTCCCTGGGCAGCCCTCTGAGCGCTCGTCCACTCCCGGGGGGCTGCCCCAAACCCCACCTCGCTTTGGGGGTGTGTGTTTTACCCTGACAGTTCAGCTGGATGGTTAACACACCCCCCCGTGGGGGGAGCTAGCCTCCCCTCCCCCGGAGAAAGGAGGAGAAAGCAGAGAGAGACCCTGAAAATAGTTGGGTGGAGATTAAAATAATCCGGGAGGGGGAAGAGGGGGGCACAACGGCGACAGAGAGGGGGGACGAGATTAGGGACACAAAGTCGTTTCGAGTTGTACTTGCTGTGAAGAAGACACCAGGGCAGTGGTAAGAAAGCAGATGTTTAAAAATAGCATCCCCAGACCAGGCAGCTGGGAATTGGAGCCAGGGAAACAAACCGGTACACATCGCTCGGATAAACGCAACACCCCCAAATCTGCCCTCCGCAGTGGCTGGATGTATTACCCCTGCACCATTATTTGTCCTTATGGTGCCTGTTTTAAATAGTGGAAGGAGAAGAGGTTGACCGCAGGACAGCAGTGAGGAGCTGGGTCAGACACAATTCATGAACTTTTGTACTCCTGTGTGCCGCTGTCGACAAAGTAAAAATAATGAAACTTTGTGATATGTTTGTAAATGATTTCGGCTGACCTCTCGCCCTGCCCTTCACCATAAACGCTACGGCGGGGAGAACCTGGGAGGGTGCGAGGCTGCGGCTCGCAGGCAGCTCGCAGAGATAATAGCTAGACCAGCATAATAGGATGAAGGTAAATTTGGAAAATTTGGAAACTCTCTTCTTCCCGAAAGCGACTAACTCCAGCCTTTACTCTTCTCTTTTTCACCAATCGCTGTTTCTGTTGTCGGCTGTTTTTCTTCTGTTTCAATCTCTATTATTATTATTATTATTTTATATTTTAGGGGGAGGGGAAATTCTGACCATGGAGAATATCTTTAGATTCGTGTTAGTCTAAATATATAAAGACTCCTTCTAAATTATTTTAACCTTTATTATTCCAAGTGGCGCGATTTAACCGGTAACGTCTGTTTCCGTAAAAAGGACGTAGATGGCAGAGCACTTAAAGTGAGCAGCAGGTCTTTCTGAGAATTTTGTAGGCGAAATTCGTCGCTATAAATTGGTGGAGAGTCCTATAGCTGTATTGCAGCAATAATAAGAAGCGTGAATCTTTTCTGAAATCCCACCTTCCTGCAAATCTGTATCTCAGAATTGAGTCCCAGCAGAATAGTTTGCATTCCTCAGAAGACAGTAAGGACTAAGAGAATTGCAAATCCCTGCTATATTGTAGATGAAAACAGAATGTTATTACGTTGTCTATATATACCCTGTAGAACCGAATTTGTGTGATATTCATATAGTCACAGATTCGATTCTAGGGGAATATATGGTCGATGCAAAAACTTCACCGTTCTGCAAATGGTTAGAAGTTTAAATACTGGCGGAATCAAAAGGCACGTCCGTGCTGAACACCCAGAAATTACAAAAGTTTTTCTGCCTTTCTCCTATTTGCCAGGTTTTAGGACGTCTCTTCAAATTTCAGTTGTCGTTCAGTCGTAACTCTCACTGACAGACTGTGAATCCAAACAGTTAAATCTCACCAGAAGTTATACATTTTGTTTAAAAAAATAACAACAAAAAATCCACTAATCGGTGACGGAATCTTTTCAAAGATACTCATAAATTAGCCAGATATGCCAGACGTTAGCAAAATTTTCCCATCAAGGGTTCAGGTCGCATCCAAATATTTACAGCAACAGCAAAAGAGCAGCACTCGCCTCACTGGAATGTATTTACTTGTGCTCCTGGAATGATATTGATGAATGAAGACCGAATTTATCTCATTAAAGCCGTGATATTTTTAACTTAAATAAATGCCGTCTCTAGTTGAATTGATTGTACTTTAGTGGTTAAAAGTGAGCGATTTTTTGCCATTTGTATGGTTTTACATGCATACGTGTATAGCTTTATATATATAGGCGTGCGTTGGCGTCTGTGCGCGCATACGTATGCATGGAGATATATATTGAGCCTTGAAAGTGAATGAGAAGTTACTGATTGCCTAATTTTATTCAGCAGAACTAAATTCTGGTAACTTTTGGATGACCTCTGTGAGACAAAGGCAGAACAGACCTATTGTACAACATATTACCCTCTTCTTGGATGGCTTTGCCTTCCTTCGCCTCCTTATCGGTTTCCTCCCTTTTAACCCCACTTCAGCTCCTCAGTCCGAATATTTCTTTCGGTGTTTTACTTAAAGCGAGGTAACAAACCCCGGTGGCTGTCGCAGATGGGAAATCAGACGGCAGAGCACAGTCCACCGGGGCGGAGGGCCGCCAGCTCAGACAAAAGGCTGGCTCTACCTGCAGGCCAGGGGGAACACCGCTGCCCCAGGGGTGCCCTGGCACCCCGGCACCTGCTCGGGGGGTGCGACCCGCCGGGGAGGGGGGTCACTCGGTTACGGGGATATTCTGGGGTGAAATCGGTGGAAACACTGAGCTGCGGCGAAATCCGGTGATGGGCTCCCGGCTCCCCATTGGCCGGGCCGGTCACATGCCCGCCTAACTTTATTCAGTTGACAGCAAGTAGGAGGGCTCTATGGCAGGGGGAAAAAAGACAACACGAGAAAAATTAGTATTTTCTACCTTCAGAAATTAATGGCCATGAGTTCGTACATGGTGAACTCCAAGTATGTGGATCCCAAATTTCCTCCTTGCGAGGAATATTTGCAGAACAGCTACCTAGGCGAGCAAGGGGCCGAGTACTACAGTGCCTCGCAGGGCTCTGATTTCCAGCACCAGGGACTCTACCCACGGTCAAACTACAGCGAGCAGCCCTTTAGCTGTAGCAATGCCCAAGGCTCTGCCGTGCAGCCGCGGGGTCACGGACAGGAGCAATCCGGCCCGGCGAGCCACTTCCCCGGCCAAGCAGAGCATTGTCCACCGCCTCCAATGCCCAACTCGCGAGCCTGCAGCCAGCAGCCGGCCCTCAAACCCCCCCACGGGTCGGCACTTAAGCAGCCAGCAGTAGTTTACCCCTGGATGAAGAAAGTCCATGTTAACTCGGGTAAGGATCCTCTTCTTACTTTGCTCTTCTACCCTGCCTCCGGCCGCCCTCAGCGGCGCTCGCTCGAGTCCCTGCCAGGCTCCTGGGCGAGCTTTTTAAGCCGAGGTAGCCAATTACACTCATCATAAATTTTTATTGCCGAGGAAATAGGCCGTTGGCCATGCGGGGCTTTACCGTGCAAGGGGAAAACTCCATTTCAGGAGCCTGCTAGGGGCTCCCAGCCTACCTAGCTGCCTGCCTTAGTGGGGGGAGAGCAGCCCGTCCATTGTAAGGCACCGGGACGAGACCAGCCCGGCCACATGCTCGCAGCTCGTAAGGTTTTTCTTTTGTAAAGTCGAACCGGCAAGTCAAGAATAGCTTTGTAAAGTTCTCCGTATTTTTTTCCCAGTGAATCCCAATTACAACGGAGGGGAACCTAAACGCTCCCGCACAGCTTACACCAGACAGCAAGTCCTAGAACTGGAAAAAGAATTTCATTTTAACAGGTACCTGACCAGGCGCCGCCGTATCGAGATAGCCCACACTTTGTGTCTCTCTGAGCGCCAGATCAAGATCTGGTTTCAGAACAGAAGAATGAAGTGGAAAAAAGATCACAAACTGCCCAACACGAAGGGCAGGTCTTCTTCCTCTGGTTCAAACTCCCATTTACAGACTGGTTCCAAGGACCATCAGACTGACTTGACAACTTTGTAGAAGAGGTGAAATTTTCCATTTCATCCTTCGCTTCTGACCAGTACTGTACATAACTGACACTGCCCAAGCAGAACCTGCATGTAGCAGCTAAGGACTCGAGAAACTGTCATCTTTCTTTAAGGTACTGTTGTACAAAGGAGACAAATTGACGCTACTTTGGACTTTATTTTATTTGCCTCTGCTAGCACAACCTAAAAAAAAAGGGGGGGGGGAGGGGGAGAAAGAAAAGGAAGGAAAAAAAAAGAGAGAGAGAAAAAAAACATCATGCAGGCAGTGGGAATTAGGAAAATATTAAACGAGACCTTCTGTCCATAAAAAGTAATAAATCATTGAAAATGAAACTGTCCTGTGTTTCAGTTTTGAATTCGAAAGTGAAGGTTTGATGCTTTATATTGGGGTTTTTACTTTTAATTTTCTTTTTATCCCATGCAATTTCGGGAGGATGCATTTGGGCAAGTTAAGGACAGGAAATTTATAGCGTAGTCTATTTGAACATGAAGACTACTAATCGTGAACTTTTTGTGCTGCTTTACCTTTCTTGGTGTAATTGAAAATACTTGCTCATTTCCCTAACGTCTCAGAAGGTGTGCATAGGACTTAAGTGAAAACGGGTTATTCTATGTACTGATAGTGTTAGTGTATTTATTTATTTGTTAAGTAGAGGAGTGAAGATAAAAAGAAAAAGATAAAAAACCAAAAACAGGAAAGGGGAGCTGAAATACATTTCTCCTTTCCAGTCTCACGAACAGTTGTATAATGTTTACTTGTCTTGAACGTACACAACTTTCTTGTCCGGGGTTTGTTGTTGTTTTTTTTTTTTTATTTTTTTTCATTTCCTTCTTTGTGAATAGGAAAAGCATCCCTACTCTTTACTGTGTGCCATCCAGGGCTAGAAGGCTTGAAATCTGTTTCCAAAGTCTGCTCTGCTCAGTGTTGTGCTTTAAATCATCGATACCTCATTTAAAAATGGATGGGGGTGGGGTGGTGGAAACAAGAAAAAAAAAAAAAAGAGAGAGACCACAACAAAATAACTACAACCCCCCCCCCGCAAAAAAAAAAAAAAAAAAAAGAAAACCCCAGAGTGAAAAACGTGTGAGATTTCTGATCTAACCTGAGCCACTCAAAGATGAATGCATTCTTTCAACCAGGTTTTCATATCTTTTCTTTCTGAGACACAGACGGGTGATGTGGGTTGTGCTTTGCTTTGTTTGGGTGTTATTTTGGTCTTTTTTTTTTTTTTTTTTTTTTAAGAACAGTGATTGTTTTTAAGCAAACCACATGACTGCCATGGCTGAAAATCTCTGATAGTCGCTTTCAGGGAAAGAAGAAAGGCTTGGACAGGAGCAGAGCTGGTCTAATACCCACCGATTTGTCCCTGGTTGTTGGCTGCATCATGACAAAGTTTTAATGCGCTGTAACTCCCAAACCCAGCCAAACCAGCTCTCTCAGCCACTTACACCTCCTCTCAAGCGATTTTAAAGCTCAACCCTTATCTCCTGCACCCTCAGGGCAGCCTGGGAGAGGAACCATATCAGCGAAATTGTAACGAGGTGAATTAAAGAGAAAAGGGGCAAAGAAGGAAACTTGGAGCAAAGGCGGAAGGGAAGTGGAAGGAGCAGGGGGTGAGTTAGCGTGCCCATCTCCAGGCTGGGTGCTTCCCACCCAAGACGCACTGTTTTTTGGGGTAGCTCGGGAAAACGTGTTCAAAACGGGGTTGAATGCATTCAAAAATGAAAGGCGAGCTTTTCATCAGGAGTGTATTCGGCAGCATTAACTGTGGCCAGCGGTTAATTTCTGCCCCTTTCTCATCCCTAGAAGTCCGCAAAGTGTCTTTAAGACTTGGTCTTTTGTTTTAAAGCCTGGAGAAAACTCTTTGTTCTTCCTTAGGGTTAGCCCAGTTCTCAGACTTGCACATGGCAATACTTGAATATCTCCACGTCGTGATATTAAAGATGGATATTCCCGCATTATTCGCGTCATTGTTTCTATGACAAAAAGCACCGAGTTCATACATAGTAAAGACGTCTTTTTTCTGACGCCTTCACGTTGAGAAGCTGAAAAGGTATTTTACTGAAGTTCGGCTAAATTGCAGGAGCAGGTTCACCCAGAGGACAAATTTTCTATTCGATTAGTTGTATTTCAGCCGGGAAGAGTGACCTCTAAACCCTTAACCTTTTGGACCCAAACTACCCTTCCCTTTCTCTGGCATGGAGAGCAGCTAGCAGCAGCGCTTGAGGAGGGAATTCCTGAGACAAGTTTTCAAGTTTTGTTATACCCGGATCCTGTGGTAGCGGCCTTTCGTCTCCAGAGCTGTCCAAAGCCCTCCCTTTGCTCTTCAGATGAATCCAGGGAAAGACAAAAAAAAAAAAAAAAAAGGAAAACCCACCCCCCCACCCCAAAAGGGGGTTGGGGGGAACCTTCTCTGGCTGTTCTTGAAAATGCCCCTCCTGGACCCCCGCTGTTCACTCAAAGTCTGTGATAAGTTGGTTGGGAGCAGGGCAAAAGGGTTGCTGGAGAGAGAGCCACCAACTTTGGTATCTGAGGTACAGTTCTGGAAAATAATGGCCTAGGATAAGCAAATCCTTACTTTGGGCTTCTTATCAACCGAGATGGCTCCCGAAGTTAAAGGACCAAATTCTGCTCCAGATTTACTTCCCCCACCACTGGAGTCAAACAGGGATGTATCTGCGAGCAGAATTTGTCTCATTGTCTTTTGAAATGTTAATATCTCCAGGATGAGTGTTGAGTTCAGCACAGCTCTTACAGCCCCTGTTGCAAGACCCCTTTGAGCGAGGCTGGGGGCACTGTCCGTTTACACAGTTGTAATTGCCCTGTGAGCTCGGAGAATACGTGAACTGGAGGCAAAAAGTACTAAAAGAAATAGTTTCCAGATGCCAATGCTCTGAAGGGTTAGAAATGTCTGTAATAATGACCAGGAGCACCCACTGGTCACTATCTCTCCTGCAAAACGAACCTGAGGTCTATTTCTTATTGGTTTTTAACCCTCCTCCAGAGTTACTTTGTGTCAAAAGGGAAGCTGGTTATTTTTGTATATCAGAGCGAAACGTTGTGCGTTGGAGCCTTTGTTAAACGGTTGCATTGTCCAGCAATACTCTCATCTCTGTTGAAGTGTGATGCTTTTTATAGACTTTGCCAATGTTTTGCTGCCATTGATTAAAGCGTTATTTATACTAAATGTCGCCTGTAGTTTTGATGTAAGCCCTCCGTATACATATGAAATAATAAAAGGTGTAGAGAAATAGATTCTGGTTTGTACCTTGAACAAACAGTCCTTACTAGGTGGGTCTTTCTGCTGTGAAAATGCTGGTCCCTCCCATCATTACAGTGTTAAAAGATGAGTGACTCTGCATAGCATCCTTCCAAATGTCCCTTTGAACAGGTCTGATGATTGCCCCAGCTATAATGGTGTGAGTTTAGGCCAAGCTGGAGTCTATATTTACATTTAGGCTGCAGTTAAAAGTGCCTGCCATCCATTTGCTACTGCTTTGCATTTAACAAGCCCTCCTAGAATGACTCCCGGATTTATGCATGTGAGGTAGGAGGCGAGGAGCCACACCTGAAGTCACCTCGATCCCCACACAGATGGGTGCCTTTTAGGTGAGTCCTGGGCGGAATCCATTCAAAAAAGAAATTTGAAATGGAAATGCTGGGAGTAACTCTTCCTGAGCAGTAAGCTTTCCTTTTATATTTTTTTTTCCAGCCAATACAAACCAAAGACCACGAGAAAACACAAACTTGGGGAGTTTAAACTTTCCTGTGCACCTAAAGCAAACATTTATTTGTTTATTTTTAATTCCCCTGCCTAAGCACCTCAGGCAACAACATGCACCTCTGGTCAGCAGAAGTCGATTGCGCTATTTTTGTTACAAGTATTTGCCACTGAAGACTTGTCCTCCCCTGGAGCGTGGTCAAGGCAGGGTCCAAAGGGACAGCACCCCATACGGACAGGGAAGGAGAGGGGTGCCCGGGCGAGGCGAGGTCCCTTCCAGCCAGGGTGCGCCGAGGTGGGTGCGGGTGCCGTTCTGAGCACAAGTTGAAATGTCGAGGCACATTTTGTGATTATACTTTCTCTCTCCTGTTTAATGGCTCCTCCTGTTACTCCCGATACATCAACACGGTTCTGTATATTATATCACCACTAGTCGTTAAGGTAAGAATGAAGAGGAAAGGCAGAGTCAATAGCAAACCCCACTCACTGTACAGTACAGTAAATAGGGACCTCTCTGTGCAGAGCCACACCGCTTCCAACGGCCATGTTTGTTAGCCCTTTCCCCTGATTCTTTTTTCCTTTTTTTTCCCTCTCCTTCCCCCCAAGCCTAGAGACCAAAATAATCTGGGTAGGAACAGTCATAACAGGCAGAATTTCAAAGTGCAAGGAAGATGATAAGAATAGATTTCTACAAGTCCTGACCACGTGATTTGCGAAATAATTAATTCAGCACGTCCCTTAAGAAACACGGAGTCGTCATTAATCTGCCAAGCAAAGGACTCTATCAGACTTGAAAACTGAAGAGATCCCAAGAATATAATATACAAAGGGTGCAGTCCCTCTCTCTGCACACCTAGCTCTTTGCTAGCTGCCGAAAAAGAGACGCCCGGTACGTAAATATTTTTTACTTTTATTCCTTCTTATTTAAGCCTTAATGAACTCAGCTGTCAAACGCTTGACAAATAGGGCACGTTGCTTCCTGATTTCCAGCTCGGCAGCGGCCGGGGACCGGACCGGGCGCAAGCGGTGACCTTTGCTTCCCAGGGAACAGGGGAAAGAGGGCGAGCGCGGAGCAGCGCGGAGTGCCGCGGAGGAGGCAGGCTGACCGCCTCCCTGGGCGGCGGCTCTGGCAGCGGCTGCCTGCGCGGGGAGGCGCGGAAGGAACAATGCGGCTGTCAGGGCAGCCGCTGCCCGGTGCCACCGGCAGGGAAGGGCCCTCAACTCCTTTACAAGCAGGGTCGTAAATTTTGCCGCGCGTCTTTGACAGCGGGGCTGCAGCGGGGCCAGAGCCAGCGCCGAGCGCGCCTTCCCCCACCGCCCACACAAAGGCCGGCCGCAGCCCCGCTCCCGCAGCCCCTCTCCCCAGGTCCCGGCCCCGCTCCAGCCCCGGCCGCCGTTTGTGTCATCCCGAGCCTCGCCGCCCGGGCAGAGGAGTCCGGGCTCATCCAGCCCCAGAAGCGGGCTCGCCGCCTTGCAAGCCTCCGATCGATAGCTCGGACTGGGGGGAAATGGTATTTGTGTTTTTATATAAAGCCACAGTCTATGAACTCCACAGAATATGGACAACGAGGCTGAGATTTCTCTGTGAAATCCCAGAGTCAGCTGGAAATACTTTCTGCAAACAGGATATTCTTTATTATTCCTTGCTGGAGTAATTTCTACAAAACCCCTAGATTGTAGCTTTTTATTACTTCCGTTTCGGTGGCAGGACAGAGACAGTTTCCTATGTTATGAATTATACATTCAAACAATAACACATTAATTCAATTATTCAAAGATGACAAATGTTTATGTGCTTTGGTAGTGACTAAGGAACAGATTTGCTACTTCACGAGAACTCCTAGGTTTTTATCAATGAAGTTTTATACTATCCTGTTAGTCCGGGAAAGAAACCAAACTCCACCAAGACATGCAGTAAAACGGACCCGAACATAAATCGCAGCCCTTTCATAAGAGCGTTTATTCCCGCATATAGCCCGGGCTATTTTATCAGTTTGACAATTGCCGGAGTTGTTGTTATAAATCATCATAAGTAATTCCTGAAAGGGTGCGAGGCTGCTGGGGGGCGGGCGGAGACTGTAAATCTTTCTGTTTTATTGCTCTATGAACATATGCTCCGATTGAAGAAGTCTTAGATCCTTTACTAGAGACAAATTCGTGCAAAGCTGGAGTCCCACCAGCCAGAGGATTAACATTTCCTTAATAGGCTTTTTTTTTTTTTTCAGTTCCCTTTACGACGTCTTAATTCTGGTGGCGGTGGTGAAGGTTCTCCTTCCTTCGTTTATTTCTTTCCTTCTTTCACCCGTCCTCCATTTTCACATTAAATTTCGCCTTTTTAGATTTTGTAATTTATTTTTAAGCCCTAGGCTCTGACAAGACACCCGAGGGCTGTGGGGCTTTTTCCAGGTGGCTCGAAACTGCCCTCCAAAAAGTCATTTTCTTCCAAATCCTCTTTGTGCTTTTTTGCTCTATCGGTGCCCAGCTTTTCCCTCTACTTTTGTGTAGGAAAAGAAAGACTTCTCCGTCATCCAAAATGTCTAAACAGCGGCCAGAATTATGTTCGGCTTTGTGTGTATGTACACAAGTATGCAGAACACGCTGTGAGTGTAGGGGTTGCTGTATGTACACACAGACGCGAGAGCGCGGGGGGCTCTGCAAAACTACCCAGACACCGAAATATATGGCTGACGGAAAAGGATATAAAGAACCATTACCTCTTACTTGAGGCGAGATTTAAGTGCATCATTTCGAAGAAATATAGGATTATAAATCTGAAGCCGTACACAATAATTTACACTGAACTTATGTTTCCATCACTGGACTCCAATCTTTTTATAACTGGTTTGCAAAGTCAGGAGAAGCAATGTAATTTAGATAAATGTTACAATGCACTTACGGTTAGTATTGTAAGGTAATACGTTACTGTCACATCCCCATGCTTTGGATGGTAATGAAATCATAGCAGATGTTAGATTAGGTGTAGTGTATTTATAGCCATAGATATGTTAGAAAAATCAAACAGAGGAGCTAATATAGGTGTGGTTTTGGTTTTGATTTGGTTTTTTGTTTTGTTTTTTTTTTTTTTTCTGAACTGGAATTGTTGGGTAGCTTTGTGGGTACACATGACGGATATATTTCGGGTTTGCTCTGTGTCTCTTCATCCACACAGGGAGGGAAGTCAGGCTCAGGGCAGACACACACACGCACAAATGTCATGAGGTTGTTGGCTTGGCTTTTTTCTTCCCCAACGCTTGTTTAGCCTCCAGACAGCAGTAGTCCCGGCTACCCCGCATCTTCCCAGTACGGAGAAGGAGAAAGCAAAAATTTGCTCACGCCACCGGGCCCCAGCGCCTTTCAACCAGAGCAAGCAGCGCTCCTGTGGAGCTGCCCCCTGCGCAGGCTCTCGTCTGCGCCCGGTCCCAAATACCTCTTCTTTCTCCTCCGGGAATTTCTGCGCCCTGGGATCATCCCGCGGAATTCACCTTTTCCCCAGGCTCTGCCGGCCTCGCGGGGCGCGTAAGTGCGAGCGCCGCCGCCGCCGGCCGCCGCGGTGCAGCGCGGAGCGGCGCGGAGCTCTGCCGGGAGGAGAGCGGGCCGGTGCGCGGAATGCAGGGTGCGGTGAGAGGCCCGTCTCGCGGGGCCCGGGGCGGCGGCCCCGGTGCGCGGGGGTGCGGGCGGTGGCGGGGAGCGCGCCAGGCTCGGCCCGGCGAGCTGCTCCCGTGATCACGTGGGCCCTGTTCCTGTATTTTAAGGCAGTGCCTATATTTCTGATTATAAAGGGGTTTCTCCTGCTCGCCCCCAAAATTCATCAATGGCCGCACGATTTAAAACCAAAACAAAACACGAGCCGGCCAATTGCCGCCTGTGGTTGCAGGAGGCTGATGGCTGAGAGGTTGTGTGTTGATTTTTTTTTTCCCTCTCTCTCTCTCTCTTTTTTTTTTTTTTTTTTAAGCCCAACAAATTCCGATTTCCACTCGCTCTCTTTTATTGGTAGTTGAGCCTGAGCTTGTTTTCGCTCTATCGGGAATTCTGGTGTATGGAAATGTCTGTAAAACCGCAAGATCAGGTTTAGGAGAGTATTGTCTGCAGACAAAGGGTGAAGGATATATTCTAAGAACTGCAAGCGCAGATCCTGAAAAGTGAGGAGTCCAGGTTTATGATAAATTGATGCACAGGTAAGCAACTGCATGACAAAATGGGACCTTTAACCACAGGGGCTGCATTATCACCTTTGCTCAGAGACTGGAATTTGTTTGCAATCTCTGCCCATAAGGGCTGCAAATGCATGGACTGGTCTCCACCTCTTTGAACGCTTTAAGCTGTATCTTTTTTTTAATTATGCTCCTTAAAGAAAATGTAGACTCCTTCCCAAAGGCTAGGGGAAGATGTTTAACCCTATCCTCTTCCCAATTTTTGGTGTTTGCAAGAAGGGAATTGCAAATAATCAAAGGAACAAGGGGGAGATAACTTTGCTAGATGCTCCCATTGCCAAAGTAAGATTGAGCATCGCGTTAATGCGTTGCCGTGGGTAGCCGGGCAGGGGGTAGCCGTGTTGATTTGTAAAGGGCGATTTAAACCAGGGTCATCGGTAACGTAGCCTCTGCATAGGGTCTCTTAAATATTCCTGCCAAATGTCTTCCAAAACCTTTTTCCCTCTCCGTGCATTCCTGTTACTCAGCTGCTGTTGTTTTCATCACCCAGTAGTTTTGGTGTTGATAATACCGGTATGCTCATGCTTCCTAGTTGCACACGCTGTCTGAAGCACGGCTTGATATTTGTGTACCGAGGAGTTTATTGCTCTCCATTCGAGCAGTCTGATCAATCCGGTGGTGGGAAGGTGCCCGGGGGGACCGCTCGGTGTCTCTTCGGGTGGACGGGGGAGCTGACAGGGGCCGTGCAGTCTCCCTGTACACATCTGCAGTTCAGCTCCCTCTTGGGCTGTTGCAACTAGCCTGGCTCTCGCAGAAGCGCCTGTCCCCACCGGTCTGTGGCCTGCCTGCAGCCCGGGTAAACTCTCGGTTATGTTTGTTAGACAGCCCCTGCTTAAAGCCCAGCTTTGTGCGGGCGGGCAGGAGTGGGTGTAGGGCAGAGCCGGACCTTAGTCGCCCCGGCCACCCCGGCAGCTCCTCAGTGGGGCCGAGATGCCAGTAGGATGCAGGGCAGGAAGGTGAGGGAAAGGGAAGAAAGGAGGAAGTTGGGGTGGTTGGTGTGATTTTTTTTTTGTTGTTGTTGTTTTCCTTTCTGTTGCGTGTTGCTCTGCTCGGTCAGAAGTTATAAAGCAGTGAACATTTTTCTTAGCTGTATGCCTCCAAGCTGCTGGCCTGCCAAGTTAGTCAGCTGAATCCAATTACTGCAAGCAGCATTTCATTTGGCTCGATGGAAGCACTCCCTTATAACTTCACCTAAAATTTCAATAATACCTATATTGGGCCCACGCCTGAATAATTCGAAAGATTTCCCTGCGTTTAGCTCTGGCGACTTCTTCTCTGAGGTGGGCTCTGCGGGAGCAGCGCCGGGAGCCGAGCCCAACCCCAGCGTGCCCGGGATCCCCTCGCCACAGAACAAACTTTGGGGGCTATTCCTGTGGCCGTGGAAATCCCGGGATTTGGCCAAGCTCTCACCAAGTACAGCATGTTTAGAGCAAGAAGGCTTCCGCTTGTGAGGCTCAGGAGCTGCTTCAGGAAGGGATGAGAAGTCGATAATTAATTAGGCACAAAATGAAAACTTACCGTATTAATCAACAGCGGCTAACAATGACTCGGTTTGCCATATTATGATCTCTCCGCTCAGGGGCTAAGGTGCAACGCCACTTACGCTGCCTTCAAACACCCTGTAAAGTGCTATTTCTAATGACCCGTCTTTAAAAAAAATAAAGCACTTAAAATTGACGTACACCCACGTGAATATATTATATAAGACGCTGCCGGGACAGGCCCAGGCCGAGAACCCGAGCGAGCATCATGTGTAATCATGAAGCTCCACTTCCCCAACTCCAGTTTGCCAGCATAAATTAAGGTGATAAGAAGAGGGAATGTTGCATCCTACTGGGTTTGGGTAGGGAGAGAGAAGACTTGGTGGAAAGTTGTAAGGTCTGTTGTGTTGTGAGCTATTGGAGGCGCTTCCGTTGGTTGTTCATTAAGTGGTGAGTTATTGCTGTACGAGGCAAAGGTCATTTCAAAGGCTTATGGTGGCTAGATATCGTCTTTATAATGATCTGGGCTTCTTTGTGGGGGGATTTTCTGGCACTCTTAAGTTCTGAAAGTCCTGAATCGACACGTAACGCAGCCAAATGCAAAATGCTCATTTCGAGACGCAAATACTTGCGGGGCATTTTCAGCGCTGGGGGTTCTCCGCTTATCTTTCTCTCTGTCTTAACAGGGGGCCGGGGGGTAGGAAGGGAGAAAGACCTGCGCTAGCTCTGTTTCCCCAAGGGCCTCCGTGGGCCGTGAGTTGCGGGAGTCAGGAGCGGTGGTTGTGACCGACGGGGAGGACCCCGCAGCTCCCATGCAATGGCGGTCCCGCTCCTCCGTGCGCTGAATCTCTGCTCCCCTTCACGCCTCCGCTCGGGCTGGGAGATCGGGGAGGCAGGCGCGGCTCCCCTCCGCGGTCTGTACGCGGGGCCCAGCGGAGCGGCTGCCACAGGCCGCCCTGCCTGGGTACGACCCGCAGCCGCGGTATTTTGCGAGTTTTTTGGCTCCCCGCCTCTCTCAAAGCACTATTAACAAATGGAGAGAAACATCTGCCCTTTGTCTGGGAATAGATCTGATGCGGACGGAGAGACACGGTGAGGGGCTGCGAACGAGATGTGTATTTATTAGCAAAGCCCTAAGGAAGAAAGTCCAAAACAAAGCAGTTTCCGCTGAGGGTTCTCATTTTTGTTGCAGGTCCGTGCCCACGGATTATCCAAAGGAACCTGAAGATCCTACCCACACAGTTAAAGTCAAAAATCAAGAGAAAACATAAGTGTGGTGAGTTCTGTAAATTTCCTTTTCCATCCACCTCCCGCTTCCCCCAGCGCTGCAGGCCCTCCCGCAGGGACCAAAGGCGCTGGCCCGCCGAGCGGGAAGCGCTGCTCGGCCGGGCTCGCCACCGCCTTCGACGCCAGATTATACCAATAAATACCAGCCCGCAGGAAGTCCCGCTGAAAGCCGGGTCAGAGGGAGCCGAGCCCGGCTGGGGAGCAGCCTTGCCCAGCACCCTGCCGCGGGGAGCGGGCGTCTACACGTGGGGGTGCTCCGTAGCTGATTTAAGAGGCCTCACGGTGGTCACTGCTCCGTACCGGAGCGCCCCCGCCTCTCCTCTGTCCGGGGACCCTTCCGCGCTTCTCAGTGCTCTCAGCGGGACCTCCCGGCTTAGGTCCAGGTCCAGGTCCAGCCCCAGCGGTAGGTGCCCGGCTGCCCACGGCAGCCCGCCCAGGGCAGAAGGTTCCCATCGCCTAGCTCTCCTGGCCGCGGCCCGGAGCGGCGGCTGGGTCCGGCAGTGAATCCAGCGTGTTCCTTATATACAGGGCTGCCCCGGGCCGGCTGCCGGGAAACGTGCCGAGCAGGGGATTCTTTTGCCGGGCTCCCTCCTACGCGCCGGCTGCTTTGCACTTCTGAAAGTGCCGTGGCTTGGGAAGTGTTTTCCTTTTCATTCCTGGCCGGAGCGTTTACTGCCACGGCGCTAGCAGTCATAAATTTTGTTACAAACCGCAATGACAGGTGCATTGATATGCACCCTGAGAGCTCCAGCTGCTTTAATAACCGCTCCGCTGGCCGCGCTCACCGCCTCTTATTTATTCGGTATCATATTAGATATTGATCCTCAGCAGAATTAAGTGTAGTGGAAGTTTTAGTAGAGAACTGCTTAATATGGAGGTGTCGAGAGGAAAGCGCAGGGTGGACGCGCGGGCTCCCGGCTTCTCCCCAGGTATTGCTGTGAGAGGGTCGGTAACCTCCGAAGGCCTTGGAGCCAGCGGCGGGACGGACAAAAAGCCCCATTATGGTGTCCAACGCCAACAGTTCAGATGAGGTTAACCTTTCTGGAGCAGAGGAAGGGAAATCTGAAACACGGACATGAATACGTTGTGGTTTCCTACCCTTGGAGACTCTGAGCCCACCTCCCACAGCTCGGGCCCACCATTTGGATGACACCTCTCTTTTTTTTTTCTTTTCCCCCTGGAGGCTGTTTCTGGCCAAACCACCAAGTGTTGAGCCCCTGCTTTGGTGTTACCTATAAAAACATCACCCCGGGCTTTGCACTCGTGGAAAATCAAACCCTGGAAAGGTCTCTCTCCCCTCTTTCTCTTCCTCACTCTCTTTTTAAGATCTAAAGATGAGCCACCAAACAGTTGAGCATTGTCTATGTGATTTATGGCCCATAGCCTCCTTTTTAGGTTCAAGCAGAGTTCACAAGCAGTTGGTATTTCAGAAAAGAAATAAGGCTTTTAACAGCTTAACAGCAATATTCTTTCTTAAGATTCTGCGTATTCTTTTGGGAACTATATTTCACAAGGCACATAAAAGCCTACGCTTAAGGCGGTGTTGTGCTAACAAAAGTCCTCAGTCCAGATCGCTCTCGAAAATGTAGATGATCGAAGTGGAAAACGAGCGACAGAGTTATTTTGCACACACACACAAAAAAATACTTTCAGGACTCGTCAAGATTGTCACAGCATATTAAAAAGCATCTGAATCGCCACCGCCCATTTCCATGGACAACTTTTTTAAACTAAAATTTTCCAGGAGAGGAAAACAGCTCTTTTCCCATTTCCATCAGCTTCGCAGATCATCCCAAGCTTTTGTTCAGGGAAGAAAAGGACCCCGGTGGTTTGTGACAGGGGATAAACCGCCGAGAGCGGCCGCGGATCTTAGCTCCCTAAGGTTATTCTGAATTATACAGACGTGTATAATCCCGGTGAATTTTAGGGAACAGATGAGCGGTACTTGGCGATACCAAAGGCTGCGGGACAAAGAGCACATCCTGGTAGTATTGCTCAAGTACAGGCCGGAGAACGGTAATTATCGGACACTGGTCAAAAATTTCTAGCTACTCTTCTCTGGTATGTTACTAGGCTTAAACCCTGAAGAAATAAAACGAACTCTGCAGATACGTTGAGTTACAGGCTTACATTGCCAGGTGAAGCATGTGGCAATTTACAGAATGACTAAAACTGTCGGACTAAAACTAAACCTATCCGACAAGAAAGAATAATGGCAGTGAATATTAAAAAAGCCGCAACAAAATCACAGAACAGTTTATATCTTGCAGAAAGTGCAGAGAAGTTGCAAGGGAAAAGGGAGCAGCACCCTGGCCCAAAACATCTGCCCCGAGGGGACAGTGAGTTTTCGGCTTAAACAGCCTGATCGGGAGGCGGGGAGGGGAGCGCCACAATTTCGCAAGCTGGAAAAAGAAGAGAAACCCGTAAAAATTATCTCCCATCTCTCAGGTTCTTTCTAATGGGGACAAATAAAAGGGACGAGAAACGCTGGGTGAGGGAATTTAATTCATCACAGAAATAAAACAGGGGAGCTGACCTGAGACTTCCTTTATAGTGCAAAGTGAAGGGAGTGAATGGCGCCGGTTACACTTTAACTCTGGAGGAATCCGGGTGAAGAAGGAGGGCGGGTTTACAAAGAGGACGGGATTTTTCTGCCTCTGCCCGGCCGCAGCCCGGGCTCAATCCATCATGTCAGATCTGCGCGGCCCTGCGCACGCGTGCCGGGCGGGCGAGGGGCACGGGGGACTCTGGGCTGAAATGGACCGGGGGGCCCTGGGAACACCACCCAGCACGGCCTTGCCTTGCTCAGTGGGAGCCCTTCCCTTGCAACCGCGGAGAGTGATTCGTCCGAATTCTGGGGGAACGGTCCACAGGCAGAACAAAGCAAGAAAACATTCCCCAAAATGCATCAAAAAGTGGCCCCGGGAAGTCCCGCCAACGTGTTCCCTTCCCCCTCAGCACCACCGCTCTCGGTGGCTCCTTGCCTGCTGTCTCCCTGTTCTTCCCTCGTGTGCCCTGCTCTTCTACCTGGTGTGCTCCAATTTGGCCTGGCTCCTGCCTGGTGATCCTGCTCCTTTCTTGGTGTCTTCTGCTCACTCCCTCGTGACTCTGGTCGTCCCCTGGGGTCCCCTGATCCTCCCTCTGGTGTCTCCTGCTCCTTCCTTGATGCCCCCTGCTCCTTCTCTGGTGTCCCTTGCTCCTTTTCTGGTGTCTCCTGCTCCTTGCTTTATGCCCCCTGCTCCTAATCTGGTGTCCTTTGCTCCTTCCTGGATGTCACCCGCTCCTTCCCATTTGCCCCTGCTCCCGCCCTGCCGTCTCCAAGGCCTACCGGCCCTGCCGAGGCGGTTGGTGCTGGTGTGCAGGGCATTCCAGGGACAGCCCGAAGCCTCCCAGCCATCGCCCCCCACTGAAGGTCTCTTTTGTGTCCCCACTGTCCCCCTTCCCAGGTGGATACGAGTGGCCCGGGCCGACAACGTGAGGCGCGGGGCGGCGGTCAATGTTATTTGAGCGGGGGCCGCGGGCCTCGGCGATCGCAGAGCGGAGGATGCAGAAAGCTGCTTACTACGACAACGCGGGGCTCTTCGGGGGCTACAGCTACAGCAAGGCCGACGCCTACCCCTACGGCGGGACACACCAGTCCTACGGCCAGGCTGGCCTGGACGGCGAGTACCCCGGTTCCGCCTGCTCCGTCCAGGGCTCGGCTCCCGGCCGTGCCCCGGCCCACAAGGGCAGCGAGCTGAGCGGCAGCTGCATGCGGACGGCGGGGGGCGGCCCAGGGGGCAGCCAGCCCTCGGGCATCGGCGAACAGCAGCCCCCGGCGCTGCCGCCCTCCTCCCCGCCCAACCCCCCTCCCAGCGCGCCCCCTCCGAAAAAGACCAAGGGAGGCCCCAACTCCTCGGGATCGACCACCGCCACCCTCAGCAAGCAGATATTCCCCTGGATGAAGGAGTCCCGGCAGAACTCCAAGCAGAAAAGCACCTGCGCCCCTTCAGGTAGCCCGACACCCCTGCCCCAGCCAACTGCCCGACCTGGGAGCTGGGCAGAGCCTCTCGGGCTGAGCCCCTGGCCCTGCACCTTGTCCTCTCCTCCTCCAGGGGCAATAGCCCCCAGACACGGCTCGGGGGTCTCAGCCTCACCGGGCGCTGCAGGCTGGGAAGGCTGGGGGCTCCTGCCTTGTTCCCCCCGACAGCCCAGTGGCAGAAGGCGCGGCCCCGGCGGCCTGGATGGGGCCGCTAGGGTCCCTGGGGGGGCAGCTGCGGGGAGGGTGGTGCGTGCAGGTCAGGGAGGGGTGGGAGGCCCCCTCCGAACTCCCTGCCCCCCCCCCCCCCCTCCGGTGGCCAGCAGAACGAGGGGGGCTCCGGGAGACCCCGGGGTGGCTTTCGGGGGGACCAACTTGTGTCTCTTTCCTGCAGGAGAAAGCTGTGAGGACAAGAGCCCCCCCGGGCCGGCCTCCAAGCGGGTGCGCACAGCCTACACCAGCGCGCAGCTGGTGGAGCTGGAGAAGGAGTTTCACTTCAACCGCTATCTGTGCCGGCCGCGCCGAGTGGAGATGGCCAACCTTCTCAACCTGACAGAGCGGCAGATCAAGATCTGGTTCCAGAACCGCCGGATGAAGTACAAAAAGGACCAGAAAGCCAAAGGCATCATGCACTCTCCCGTCGGACAGTCCCCTGACCGAAGCCCCCCCCTGAGCGGCACAAACCACGTCGGCTACTCCAGCCAGCTCCCCAGCGTCAACAGCCTCAGCTACGACGCGCCCTCGCCCACCTCTTTCGCCAAGTCCCAGCAGAGCATGTATGGGCTGGCCGCCTACACGGCGCCGCTGAGCAGCTGCCTGCCGCAGCAGAAGCGCTACGCGGGTGCGGAGTACGACCCCCACCCCATGCAGAGCGGCGGCGGCGGTTTCGCCAACCCCAGCCTGCAGGGCAGCCCCGTCTACGTGGGGGGCAACTTCGTGGACTCGATGCCGGCCTCGGGCCCCATGTTCAACCTGGGGCACCTGCAGCACCCCTCCTCCGCCAGCGTGGACTACAGCTGCGCCGCCCAGATCCCCGGCGGCCATCACCACGGACCTTGCGACCCCCACCCCACCTACACGGACCTCTCCTCCCACCACAGCTCTCAGGGACGGATGCAGGAGGCACCCAAGCTCACGCATCTGTAGCGGGGCGGCGGGCGGCGGGGCCCGCTCCCCTCTCCATTACCTCACTTTTCTGACGGGACAGTTACTTTGCTCTCGAGTGCCAACAGTGTTAGTGGATTTGTCTCCCCTAGCAGCTCCCTTCTTCCTTCCGCAGCCCCGGGTAGCTCCGCGAGCAAGAGCCTTTCTCTTAGAGCTGTGTTTAAGCATGACAGTGCAATATACTGCAAACCGAGGGACTGGTAAACTGGTAATGATGTACTTGAAGGTAAGTCTTAGAGATGCCGTAGTGTTAGCAGCGCGTCATGCTGAGGTGTTTTAGAGCAGGGGTGAGCAGTGGGAACTCGCCCGCGCGTAAACTTATTCCAGAGAAGTTAATTTATGAATTCTTCCGTAACGTAAGGATCGCATTGGACTTAACGATATGTATTTATTATTTTAAGCGAGACATTTTTGTATCACTGATTATTTATCCTCGTCTTAATGTATTTATGTGGGTATTTGTAGAGTTCCTTCACCAATACTTCGGGAGAGCGATTCAGGTCCGTGGTGACTGACATTTCACCTATTTAGTATATTCGGTCTGAGCTAGTTGAGAGAGTAGTCTTGAACAGTTGTAACAGTGGCTGGTGTTCGTAGTTTATGTAAGGATTAATTAAGACAGCAAGTCGTAAGTCATGAATAGAGTAAAACAAACTGTGGCATCACACAAAAGAGCCGTTACACTTAAAAAAAAATTAATAGTATCGGAGTTATTTTAAAAGTATTTATTTCTGGCTGGCCCCGAGCGCCGAGATGGCTTGGAGGCAGCTGGCTTGGCTGGGTGAAGCCACCCTTGGCTGGAAGCACAGCCGCTTGGAGGAGATGATCTACGAAGCAGGGCGCTAGGCCATCTTGTTTCAGATCAAATCCTGCGTACAAAAGCCTCGGTGAGGTTAACTTTATTTATTGAATGGGTATCTATCACACATATTATTTGGGTGGGCTATTTTATTTTCTTTCTTCTTCTTTTTTTTTTTTATAAAAATTGTTTTAAATTACGCTCTGGCTATCTGAAATAGGAAAGAAACTAGAAGCTTAGAACGCAAAAAAAAAAAAAAAATTAGAAACCCTCTGATAGTGCTAATTTCATTAAGGTCTCCATAGCAATCTGCGCAGCAGCTGCCGCCTCCTTTGTTATTTATACTGTTGTCTTTATACTAACCATAAATCAATTTTTTAGACATCTTTGGAAGCTCGAGCTTTTCCTCTTGTTTTTCATAAAAATAAACTTTGAAAGAAAATTGACAATCAGGTAGACGCAGCCGAAGGGCAGCCGCAGAGGCGGGGTGCGGGCAGGGGCGCCCTGCGAGGACGGTTCCGTCCCCCAGGACCGCTGCCGCGGGGCATCGCCGCCTCCTTCCGTCACCAACGGGACCGCTAACACGGGGAGGAATAAATAAAAATTAATTAAAAAATAAAAAAAAAAAAAGAAAAAGGAAAAAAAAAAACCCAACCAAACCACAGAACGATGCTCTGAACCCTCGTGTTTCCTCCTCTTTAGTTACACGGCTGTGTTGAATCCCTCGCTGGATTTACAGATACTTCTTTTGTAAACGTTGTCATTAAAGTCTCTTCCTGAAGGTACACGTCGCTCCGAGAAGACTGTTCTTACCGACTGTTCTTACCTCTTTCTAAAAGTGTCGAGTTCAAGATAAATCCGAACTTCCCTATTCCCCACCAACCCGTCTGACGCGCCACTTTCAGTCTGACAAACACTGCAGCTCCTACTCCATCCTCTAATGAAAGGACCTGGCATTCCTATTGTGGGAAATATTTTAACTCCTCCAATTCTGGTCAACACAGACAAGTTTTCTCTCTCTTTTTCTTTCTTTCTTTCTTTCTTTCTTTCTTTCTTTCTTTCTTTCTTTCTTTCTTTCTTTCTTTCTTTCTTTCTTTCTTTCTTTCTTTCTTTCTTTCTTTCTTTCTTTCTTTCTTTCTTTCTTTCTTTCTTTCTTTCTTTCTTTCTCTCTTTCTTTCTTTCTTTCTTTCTTTTCTTTCTTTTTCTCTTTCTTTCTTTCTTTTCTTTCTTTTTTTCTTTCTTTCCTTCTTTCTTTCTTTCTTTTCTTTCTTTTTTTCTCTCTTTCTCTCTCTTTCTTTCTTTCTTTCTCTCTCTCTCTCTTTCTCTCTCTCTCTTTCTCTCTCTCTCTCCTTTTCTCTCTCTTTCCCCTCCCTTCCTCCCTTCCTTCCATCCATCCATCCATCCATCCCCCTTTCCCTCCTTCCTTCCCTCTTTCCCTTCTCCCTTCCTCCCATTCTTTCCTTCCTTCCCTTCCTCACCTTCTTTCCTTCCTCACCTTCCTTACCTTCCTTCCTTCCTCACCTCCTGGTATTTATGTTTGGCTGGACAGTAACAATTAAAAATCCTACTTAGGGTTTTATTTTCCCCTCCATGCAATTTTAACAATGTCGTGCTATGTTGAGAAGTGTAACTTCTGTTAAATTTCACTTTTGCCCAAGCAAATTTGGATATACGTGTTGTAGATCTGTAAACAATACAGAACAGAATAAACGACTTTGTTCAGATACATATTTTAAACATTTTGAGCCCTAAAATTGTTTTATCTGGAAGTTTCCACACAAATTGTTTCATAGAAGCTCCATCCGGGAGTAAAAACCACATACAAATAATTAATGCAAAAAGTAAGGCTAAACACCACTTGTGAATTACACTTTATAATATTCCATAACTATATATATGTTTGTATCTCCAGAATTTTCTGTAATCAATGTACCCAGGACTGAGATTGTACATGTGGGGTTTTTGTGTGTTCTTGAAAACACCATGTATTTTGTACCACCTGCTTCTATATGTGAAATTGCAAGACACCCCTATTTCTGCAGGGCCATTCCTGGTGTAACCCAATGTGCTTTCCTCAAGAATTTCCCACCTCCGTGCTCTGTAGGTTGCTCTTCAAACAGTGTTCACTCTGATTTACACAATTAGTCCTTCATTAAATCTGTTAAGAAAGAAAAGGCCGTTTATAGGTAGCCCTTCCCACGATCTGAGGAAGAAGGGGGTTTGAAAGAAACCCTGACCACAAAAACGGAGTTATTGAGGCACACTGCCCTGAGATATTTTCGTATTGCAGAAAGATGGGGTTTGCAGACTTGGTTTCCAGTGGGGGGGAAGAGGAGCATGTGCGAGGGGAAATCTTGTAAATAAAGTCACTTTTCTTCTCTGTGACTCCAGCAGAGGTGCCTTGTTTGTGACACAGAAGTCCATGATGATAACCTAATTATTGGAAGCAATGTTACTTTAGTGAAATCACTGGCATTTTTACAATGTTTGTACAAGCATCAGCAATCTAGGGAAGAGAGACACTTTGGCACAAGCCAGACTTTTTCTTGGTCCATCATTTAAAACCCATAAATTATAAACAGCCCCCTTTCCACTCAATAGGAACTCAGATCTTTTGCAACAGCATCTGATGTGATGAACTCCAGTCACCTACTTAAAACGCAACTAGTCAGCCAAGACCAGGCCTGGGGCTGATCTTAGCCTTGCCTTTCTTTGCATGTAGGAGTCATATCATCCCTTCCCCTCCTTCCCTGCTCCCTCCATCTGCTCCAGACCTGTAACAGGGTCACTGATCCAGGGCCTCTCAATGTTGGCAGCACTGCTGCAGTGTTTGGGATAGAGAGCTGCTGACAGCAGTGGTTGAGGGGCGTCAGGGGTGTACTGAGCTTCAGTGAGTCTGTGCAGGTTCCCCTCTTCAGATCAGTGGGTTTTGGGTCTCCAGTTGTTGTTTTGGCTCTTATGGTAACTCACTATTTAATGGGGGCCCAGCAGTTTCCCTGCTGCAAAAGAGATGAAGCTTTGTGTCCTCTCTATGCAGTCAGTGCTGCACCTTTGTACCCTGTTTTTTTTGAGGGGTGTCCCATCCATGTCCCTCTGTCTAGGGCCTGGTGAGCAGCACCAGGGCAGGGGAACCCAGTCTGGCACAGCCAGGAGCTCCCAGGGATTCCACTCTCTTGCAGGTGACACTTGTGTGAGGCTGGGGAAACAAAACCAGATGCATCCTGCTTCATTAGCAAGTGGTCCCTGGGCAAAGCAGGGTTTACAGCCATGGTTCCTAGGTGGTCCAGGGAGGGATTCCAGGGCACCCCTTATGGCTGCCACCATGGGACCATGCCTGTGTTGTCTGGGCTGCACCAACCTATCCATGGGTAAAGAGGAGGCAGCTGGCTGCAGGTGAAGCAGGCAAGGACAGGTGGCAGCGGAGTCTGGCTAAGAAAGAGGGAGCCCACCAGCATCAGCTAGAAGCCCCCTGACTTTCTTAGGGACCCGCTGGATCATTGATGCTCCATGGCGAGAAGTCTGAAGGCAGGACCCACCACTGGGGTCTGCACCTCTGAAACAGCCTGCAGATAGGTCTAGGCCCAGAAGGGATTACTCTGCTGAGGAACAAAGAGGGTAAAGTGGTTGGGGGTGCTGGGGTCCTGCTGGGACGGTGCCTCACTGACAGCTGTCAGCCAGGGAGGCAGGGAAGGAGCTGGAGCTCCCAACACCATCCTTCTATGTGCCAGCCTGCTGTGTGTGCCCAGCAGCCACACACAATTGCAGCCCAGTGAAGGCACAGCATGCTGTGTGGTGGAGAGGCCCAGGCATCCAGCAGACCTGCCTGGGAACAAAAGCTGGAGCCAGACGGGCAGCACAAAGGGGCTGGTGCTGCTAGGGCAATTAGGGCTGCGGTGGTTGGCTGGGCACCATGTGATGTTATACATAGACAAAGTGGCTACCTCTGCTTTTAAAAGGCACGAGATGTGCTGGACCACAGCTCTGTTGGCCATAGCCACTTTCCAGGGACTGAGCGGCAGGTTAATCTCTGAACGGGCTCTCCATTCCCATGTGAGCAGCAGCAGTGGCAACGTGGTCCTGGCTGGCAGTGGAGCTGGTGGGGGAGGGAGGAGGCTGGCTCTATTAAGGGTCATCAATCACATGATGAACACTTTTCACTCGACAGCGATTCCTCTGACTTCTGTTCTAGCCTGAGCCAGCTGGGACTCGATCAGAAACTCCAGCAGCAGAGGCAGAGCCCAGTCCTGGAGCCCCAGAGCCATACAGTAATATGGCAGGATGGGACTGAGCCCCTTTGGTCAGAAAGGCTGAGATGCAAAAGGGGACACAGCAAGGTGTCTGTACCAGCACATCCCCAGACCTCTGCAGAAGCTGCTTGGGAGCAGACTTTGGCCTTTGTGTTCACCTTCAGAGCCCAGGATCCTGGAGCTCCTTGAACCCAGAAAGGCTCAGCTGCAATGATCATATGCACAAAGCTTGAACGAAATCAGTATGGGATGTGTACTACTTGTAGTATGGGGTCTTCTGGGTAAAAATACTCTTGAATGTACAAGTTGAGCACTTCTTTCTTTTTAATTTGTTGATGTGCATTTTTTCTTGCAACAGCAGAAGTTTTGAAGAGGGCAGACAACCCCCAGCCCCTGTGTAGTGATGATCTTTCCTCCAAGGAGCTTGGGCCACTTTTTAGGACCTTTGGGAGTAAGAAGGGCTAGGCAAGGCGGAAATCGTGGCTGCAAACCCTTTAACATCTCTGTTTTGCACAGAGCAGCATGGCTTACCTTAATACCTCTGGGTTATCCATACATGTATATTTTCCTACTAAATTCATAGCCATGGGATAGGAAACAGCATTATATAGCACAGGGGCTCGAGTGGAATTACTCGTCTTGGAAAACCTTCACAGAATGAGGGGGAGACTCCTTTTCTCTGTGTTCATGTGGAGGATCTTTATAGTTAATCTCACAGACTGCGAGAGCAGAGGTCTCTGTCCCAGGCCTGGTGAAACTGCCCCAGGGGTCAGCCAGGAAAGCAGAGCTTGTGGCAGGGAAATACAGATGGCAGAGGGAAACACACTTTCCTCAGGAAGAGCACAAAATGCCCTGCCTGTCTGGAAGGGCTGTGCTTGTGCTGGAGCTGAGCCTGCCCCACCCCAGAGCGGCAGAATGATTTTCCTTCTGTGCCCTGGGGTCTCTGCACATCCCTGGTTTTATTCACACTTTACAAAATAAACTCCCCAGAGCTTCTCCTTTTTCTTTGCTAGCCTTGCTCTCCAGGGGCCTTTTATGGTTTGCCTGTGTTAACAGGGACAATGCTTAAATCCCCAGTGTTTGCTTCTTTCTCTTTGGGATGCCCACCCATGCCCTGGCTGTCTCCACACCATGGAGTGCATCCCCCCATACCGCTGAGAACCATCTCTCTCTTGCTGTTATGTTGTGGCAGCAGAGGGGCAAGGACAAGGCCATGCTTGAATCAGACCTTCTGTATCATTTTCTTGAGGACTGGGTTGAGCAGGGGTCTGTTAAATCTCCTGTATGTTATTGAGACAAGCACAGATGGTGGAGGCTTACTCCACAGAGGAAAGGCAATGTGCACCAACCTCAAAGTAGTCCTTGTGGCTCAGGGCTGCCATTGCCTTCATACATG